AAATAAAATACCAAGTATAAAAAATTTGAAATATGAGAAAAATAAAAAAAATTAATTCCAAAATGTGTGTTTAATGGCTATGGCTTTATTATGTCATAATACTCGTTGTGACTATTTTAAAAGTATTAATAAACAAAAAGGAATCAAAATCAATATAAAATTTTCCAAGAAAAACTTATTTTATTCACGAATTAGATTTTCTTAGTTCAAGCGCGTATAATCAGCAATTTTTTTCAAGTTTAAACAAAAAATTATACAAAATAAAAGTTGATAAAATTAGCATTTCTCAAAAACAGTAAAATTTATTAAGTGTAACTACCACAAAAAAATATACCTACATTTATTATTATTAGAAAGCACTTAATGAACGGACGCATCAATTTTATTGATTCGTATTAATTGTGAATCGGGACTAAATGCATTGTAAATGCTATGTATCAATCATGAATAGATCACGAAAATATTCACTGAATGAGTCATGATTTACATTTTTCGGAACATTTTCCTTATAAATACGGTCAAGTTTACAAAATTATTCTTCTTGCAAAAACAGGAGAATTTTCAATATTACCCGTATTAATACGGAAAAATTTTCAATATCACCCCATAATAATGCAAAAGAATTTTCAACATTACCCCGTATTAACACAGAAGAATTTTCAATATCTCCCATATTAATATTTAAGAATTTTCATTATTACCCCGTATTACTACGGAAGAATTTTCAATATCGCCCCGTATTATTATTTAAGAATTTCCAATATCACCCCATATTAATGTTTAGGAATTTTCAATATCACCCCGTATTATTATTTAGGAATTTCTAATATTGCCCCGTATATATGCCTTTTAATGCTGAGTTCTCACTATTTCCTGTATTAATACGGTGGAGTTTTCAATATAGCCCCTTACAAATACAAGCGAGTTTTCAATACTTCCCGTATTAATACAAGCGAGTTTTCAATACTTCCCGTATAAATCTAATTCAACATTCATCATTATTCATAATGAAACAATCACTCATCAAACATTGTCACGTATCAAGACAATAAGTTATTCATCATTTCTCCTAAGTCTTCTATATATGAATAAGTTAATTGACTAAGTTTACAATACAGGAACTTGTAACTTTAGTTCTACTCACATTCCGACACTACGTGGCTTAATAATACGGGATAATGTAACGTATGAACACGGCTAATGCTACGGCTGCATCACAAACGTCACCATACAATACAGCTTTACGTCACCATACAATACAGCTTTACGTCACCATACAATACAGCTTTACGTCACCATACGATACAGCTTTACGTCACCATAACAAACAAATTTTACGTTACTGCGATCACATCAAAAGCTAAGGCAAACCGGCACAATATAAGCGTACAATAAGCAGGTAAGCAACCATAAATGGCCATGCAAGTTACCATAAATTGACAGGCAAGCTACCATAAATGGCCAGGCAAGCTACGTACCATAAATGGACATATTAACACACCATAAAAAATTGCGATCGCTTTTATGATTTTCTGACAAATTGTCGAGAGTAAATTTTGAACAAATGCATCCAGAATGCATCCAAGCAAAATACAAATATTTTGACAAAATAATATTTTGACAGAATCTGCTAGACAAACACGAAATGGCAGCAGATTTTGACAAGAATTTCAACTTTTAAGTCAAAAAAGGCCACCAACAAGACAGTAACTCGTGCAATTCAACAATGAATTGCAATTTATAATTTGGGCAAAAATAAAATTTCTACACATGACAAGCAACAATACAATTGACAAGACTTGACAATAAAATTGTTGGCCTTGACTAGGAGGTTCTATACCTTGGCAAGGTTCTATGCCTTGGCAAGGTTCTTTGCCTTGGCAAGGTTCTTTGCCTTGGCAAGGTTCTTTGCCTTGGCAAGGTTCTTTGCCTTGGCAAGGTTCTAGCCTTGGCAAGGTTCTAGGCCGTGGCAAGGTTCTATGCCTGGGCAAGGGTCTATGCCTTGGCAAGGGTCTATGCCTTGGCAAGGTTCTNTTTTATACGCGTCGTGTTTCGTCCCATGATATGATCAATTAATTGTGTCTGATTATTTCATATATTATATTATATAATATAATATACATTATATGTTATAATATAATATTTATGTAATTTAATAATTCGTTTTTTAAATATAAAATATTTATAATATTTTATAAATATTCAATATTTATTTATACATTAATAAGTGTGCGAGTTGTCACGTGTAAATTAGAATAAAAATAAATAAAATGTATAATATATATATATATATTAGAATAAAAAATAAATAAAAATGTACCGGAAAAAGAATTGAAATGTAAAGAACGAAATTCAATTTTCAAAGGAGGAAATAGATAAAAAATGTTATGAAAGAAATTTTTATAATAAAAAAGCCATTAAAAATTAAAAAAAAACACAAATTATAATAAAATTAAAATGAAGCAGAAACTGAAGCCACAGATCAGAAAGAAAACTTCAATTTCAAAATTCAACAACTAGAATTCATCACAAATTTACACGAGCAATAATTTAGTCCTATCTAAAGCCTTCAATATAATTCAAAGACCTAAATTATTCGCTTATTTTCATATCATTTAACGCAATTTATTCACATTATACGCCAACCAAAAAACGACAGAAAAAATCATCAGGAAAAAATACGCCGGTGGCCTCTCAGTGAATAGGCCTAGGGAAGTATTAGAATATTTTCTATAGGCCTAGGGAAGTATTGGAATACTTTCAATATAGGCCTAGTGAAGTATTAGAATATTTTCAATATAGGCCTAGTGAAGTATTAGAATATTTTCAATGGGCCTAGTGAAGTATTAGAATATTTTCAATGGGCCTAGTGAAGTATTAGAATATTTTCAATGGGCCTAGTGAAGTATTAGAATACTTTCAATAGGCCTAGTGAAGTATTAGAATACTTTCAATATAGGCGTAGTGTAGTATTGGAATATTTTCTATAAGCCTAGTAAAGTATTAGAATATTTTCAATATAGGCCTAGTAAAGTATTAGAATAATTTAAATACAGGCCTAGTGATGTATTAGAATATTTTCAATAGGCCTAGTGAAGTATTAGAATAATTTAAATACAGGCCTAGTGATGTATTAGAATATTTTCAGGCCTAGTGATGTATTAGAATATTTTCAATAGGCCTAGTGAAGTATTAGAATAATTTAAATACAGGCCTAGTGATGTATTAGAACATTTTCAATAAAGAGACGAAACAGAGAAGAAAAAAGAACTGCTGAAACTCAAAATAGAAAGAAAGAAAGAGACTGGACAATTTTTATCACTATTAAAATATAGAAAATCATCCAACTTCATCCTTCACTAATAGTCAATATCATCAATCAGTGAACCAATCGTCATTCCTTAACGCGTCCATATCATCACAAGTGACAAAACACAGCACTATACAAGCATCTATTATAAAACACAGAAAACTACACAATAAATACAAACAAGAAAACTAGTACTTGGCAACCTTGTGACAAATAATAACAGTACTTGGCAACCTGTAACAAATAATAACATGACTTGGCAACCACTGACGGATATTAACCAAACTTGGCAACCTATGACGAATAATACCAGTACTTGGCAACCTGTGACGAACAATAACAGTACTTGGCAACCACTGACGGATAATAACAGTACTTGGCAACCTATGATAAATATTAACAGTACTTGGAAGCCTGTGACAAATAATAATAGTACTTGGCAACCTGGCAACCTGTGACAAATAATAACAGTACTTGGAAGCCTGTGACAAATAATAACAGTACTTGGAAGCCTGTGACAAATAATAATAGTACTTGGCAACCTGGCAACCTGTGACAAATAATAACAGTACTTGGCAACCTATGACAAATAATAAAAAGTTCTTGGCAACGTATGACAAATAATAACAGTACTTGGCAACCTGTGACAAATAATGACAGAACTTGGCAACCTGTTACAAATAATAACAGTACTTGGCAACCTGTGACAAATAATAACAGTACTTGGCAACCTGTGACAAATAATAACAGTACCTGACAGCCTGTGACAAATAATAACAGTACTTGGCAACCTACGACAAATAACAGTACTTGGAAACCTATGACAATTAAGACAAATTAATTGGATAAAATACGACAAATAAGAAAAAGTACTCTGCTACCTGTGACAAATAAAGCTAAGTAGTACTTAAAAACCTGTGACAAATAGTAACAGTACTTGGCAACCAATGACACGTGTGGGGAGTGCCAGCTATTGTACACAATTTTGCGAAAATGAACGAAAAATTAATACTTTTTTACGATACTTTTCTCTACAATTAATAATTCATCCTAAATAATTACTAAATCGTTACCCCAGCTAGTAAATCGTTACTCAACTCACAATGCTATCCCTACCCGAGCTCTAAATTTAACCATGCTTCAAAATTCAACAGGACGGCACTCAAAATCGGCTTATAATCAACGAGAAAATGATGACTAAATTGAGTTGATTATTATTTCTGACATAAAACTTTGGTTTTATGTTATTTTAAAGATTTTCGAGACGTAGGGAAAAATATTCCCATGACTTAGGGTAAATGATCACAATACCTGGGGTAAATGGGAGCAGAACTTAAGGTAAATTTTCCAAAACTTAGGGAAATAATTTACAAAACTTTGGCAAATGTAGAACAACTTTGGGGTAAATGTTCCGAAGCTTTGTAGAGAATCTTCCCCAGTCTTTGGGTTTAACTATTTCCCAACAAACAACGTAATAAATCAAAAGCTTTTTGCCACGAGACGCACTTTGCATCAACACAAATATTTATTACATTAAATGCATAGCTAACTTTACATCGAACGTGTGTCATAATGTCGAAGCTCGCATTCAGTTCAGATTTATAGGTTAGGTTTTATTTTTTTGGTTTGGGGGACATTTTTTTCATTTTTTTGCAGGTGAATTTCTTTATTCTTTTCGGGGATTTAATACTTATTTGGGGATTTATGAAGGTTCAAGCAGAGAATCAAAACACCCATTAGCCCTAACCGACTTTCTTGCTTTGGCTCTCGCGTCAAGGAAATTACGGCGGAGCTGACGAGAAACTTCGTTGTTGATCCTGCGGGGATTGTGGAACTTCTGACGCACTTGACGCAGTCACAAGAGCGGCACTTTGTGACTGAGGCCCCGACGTGGCCTCAAGATGGGTACTTTGTGACTGTGGAGTTGATGTGGCCCCAAGATGGGCGCTTTGTGACTGTGGAGTTGTGGCCTCAAGATGGACACTTTGTGACCGTTGAGCCGCTGTCTCGGACTGAGTTACCGCCAGAGTGGACGGAAGATTTCGGATTTCCGAGGAGGACGCGGACCGTTTAGTGGCTGGTAACCTGTTGGACACGGCGACACTGAGAGCATAAACTGACCGTGCGAGCGTTGGTGATGCCGGTACCGCTGGAATTAAAGGAGATACCGAAGTAACAGATGTAACAGATCTACTGACGCTTCGGACATGCAGCAAAGAAGGTTGTTCGGCAACAGAGGTTGAGGATACATCGAGTCCTTGAACTGCGTAGGGTGAAGGGGTCCTTGGAAATACCAGCGACCGTTCGGAGACAGATGAAGAGGACTGAGATCGAGGTAGACGGTTAGACGGAGACTGAGATCGAGGTAGACGGTTAGACGGGGACTGGCTAGGCGTGTAAGACGGGAACATCTCAGGCAAGACAGGTGAAGCTAACTGGAAGACAGGAGGAATCAAACTTCCTGAAGGCCCGGCGTAAGAAACGACAGGGACAACAGTAGACGGGTCCTCCATAAGCAGGGGATGGACAGGAGAAGTGATACACCGGGACGGGGGAAGGAGGGAACTGCCAGCGGTGGTGGAAAAGCCAAGATGGCGCGGAATTTGGGCACGTGGAAGTTGTGGAGAATGTTGAGAACTTATTTGCGAGGACTCAGGCGAGGCCATGCGAGCGTTCAAAGTTTTGGTGACATCTTGAGACTCAGAGATGATGGCAGGAGCCATCTTCTGAGGAGGAGGACTAACAGCCAACTCGGAGGTAGCGCCCGCCATGAGTTTGGTCGCGTCTCCAACGCAGATGCTGTGGCGTTTTTTAAGTTCGCCGAGGTGACCATGCTTGCGAACTCGATTGTGTCTAATCCCATCTGAAGGATATTGTTGAGGATCAAATTCAGCGCCCCTTGTATCTTGGGACGCTAGTTGGTGCACCACAGAATACTTCTCGACGACCTCAGTCCCGTCTATGACGGCCACACGGGATTCCTCGGTGTACTGAACATTCGTCGGCAGTTCTTGTTCGGCAAACTCCGTGGGTATTGAACACAATTCTTCCAGAGACACCGCTAGATTTTCGGAGTTTCGGTGAAGTCTCCTCTGAATGAGACCCTCCATGATGAGGAAATCAGCTTCTTCTGCATCCCTAAGGGGATGATGGAAGCCCTTAAGCGCCATCCCCATCCCTTCTGAATGATGCCTCACTCTGCCAAACCAGACCCCAGGGGTAGACGGTGGGGAAAGCCGGGCCATTACGACGTTCTCAAGCTCGTCCGCGAGACTCGTATACTCTGCGTTAATTTTGATGATGGGCACCGGAGGCGATGTAGGAGGAATAACTTTAATTCTAGGGCGACTTGAGGAAGAGGAATGGCTTCTCTCCCGGTCCCGTAGGGCGCGAGTGGCTGGCGTTTGCTCGGCCGGGGAAGACATGGACCTTTGGACCGGAGGTCGGTCCAGCATTGGGGTGTGTTCCCTGGATTCTATCATAGAATCCTCCCTAGAGTAACTCTCATCGTAGTCCCGGAATGAAACACGTGAATGAGGGAAGGTTTTTTCGATGGATTTGTCTTTGGACGGATCCCGGAAAGACGACCGTTGTTTCTTGGCGTTGCTGGAAGGAACCTTACGGTCTCTTGTCTCAGAGGCCTTGTTTCTCGGAGGTCTCCGAACACCTCGCTGCTTCTCTGTTGACATGGTGAGAGGAGATACACCATCCACAATAGCTTCATCACCAAACTCACCATCTTTACGAGACTCTCCATCAAGTCCAGCACCACGTTTCAATGGCGAAAGACTCACCCGGTGTTTTCCAGCGGAAAACACCTTGCGTTTTTCATCAGATGAAGACCCTTCGTTATCGCTATCTTCTTCGGAAACGCTAGAGTATCTTTTCCTGAACATATTAGTTTCAGTTTCTTCTAGCATGCTTCTTAGCGCGGACCTGGAACTGTAGCTTCCAGACTCAAAGGGTGACATACGTCCAGGTTTAGGAGATCCAGACCTGGATCCAAATTCGGATCTCGGTGACGTAGATCGTGATCTTCTTTGATCCATGTAGGATACCATGAACCGATGGATAACGGAGTAGCTATCCTTGGCATGGCTTAGTTCCTCTTCCAGTCTTTTAATACGGAACTCTGCCGTATTAACGGCGTTCAACGTCGACATCATCTTAGAGTTGAAGTCTTCCAGTCGCTGGACGGTTACTTCGCTGCGCTCTGCCATCAGCCGCACTCGCTCCTGCAAACCAGGGTAATTAAACCGATTATCTTCGTACACTAATTGCCTCTGCGTGCACTAATTGCCTCTGCGTGCACTAATTGCCTCTGCGTGCACTAATTGCCTCTGAATTGGTCGTGGCCTCATACCTCGGTAGTGCTGGCCTCCCTGGCCTCATACCTCAGTAGTGCTGGCCTCCCTGGCCTCTCATACCTCAGTAGTGCTGGCCTCCCTGGCCTCTCATACCTCAGTAGTGCCCGCCCTGTCTCTTATACACATCTAGATGTGTATAAGAGACAGGGCAAGGTTCTATGCCTTGGCAAGGTTCTATGCCTTGGCAAGGTTCTATGCCTTGGCAAGGTTCTAG